TAATTTTATTTATTTAATATAATAATAATATATAATGTAATATATATATGATAATATAATGTAATATATATATATAATATAGTATAATAATAATAAATATGTCAATATAAATTAATGATTTCAACGTCTATTTCTACTTCCTCCTCTTCACTGCTAAGATCGATTACTTCTATATGTTCTGAAATCAAATTTAAAGATTAATTTTAATTGTTTTATATACAGAAAATTAAAAATTTTTATGTGAAATTATTTGTGCTTTCTTACCATTATCCTCCTCCGCATTTTCATCCTCCTCCCCCACCTCCTCCTCCATCTCCTCCTCCATCTCCTCTTCCCATTCTTCGATATCTAAAATTGGATTAATTATTATTTAAAAATTTGAAAACCTGGATTATTATACAATCTATTAAAAAACTTACGTGGAGGGCTTTGTTGTAAAAAAACCTCCTCCTCCTCTCCATATACGGGTCTACGAAATTTCGTATTGTACAACATTTTCATTTTATTTTTCTTCCTTGTTGATGTGGACTTGGACTGTTTGCTAGTGACTCCTGGGTGACTTTTATATGGTCCATCGCTATCTCTTTGTAACAAATATGTCTCATTAGGAGAGGGTGGCAAATGTGCAAAATCAGCCTAACGTAATAGTAACATCATATGTGTCACATACAGTCAACCGCATCCTCACATTGATGTATCAGCACGTTACCGTTTCTTTGTCGCTCGTACCAATCCTCTAAGTTGGAGGTGGAAAAGAGTTCAGAAATTGGGAGTACAACCTGAGAACTTCAACATTTTCCTTCAGTCCGCGTTTGTTTATTCCCCGCAAACAGAGTTCTCTGTCACGCAAAAACTGCACCATCGATATCTTTCTTGATTTTGGCCATCTCCAATCTATCTCCATTTTAGCCGTTCAATTTGTTGCACGTGTCCCGTATCTGTTGCTGCTTGGATCTCGACTGAACTATGCGCTGATGTAATACTCATGAATTTATATGTTTCAAAACGTGCAAAATATGCATATCTCCATGATCTTCATGATGGTATCTTGTTTCACATTTTTCTGCGCATCTTGCTGTCAATCACAAATCGATGCGGCAGCACTAAAATGCTACATTGTGATGCATAAGAGAGAGAGATCTTACATTCATTAGTAATAAGAATATCATGTGCCACATTCTAGTTCTTGCGCATCTAATTGTCGAATGCATAACACGCAAAATCTTGTCGCGGGGGCACAGTGTACGTGCTCATTAGTAATAAGAATATCATGTGCCACATTTTCTGCGCATCTAATTGTCGAATGCATACGTTTGCAGAATATTAGAGTTTGCAGCTGTGACTAAAAAATCACGCGGGCGGCACGGGCGGCGCGGGGCGGCGCGGGCGACGCGAGCGATGCGGGCGGCGCGGGCGCCGCGAAAACCGCCGCAAAAAACCGCCGCAAAATCCGCCGCAAAAAACCGCCGCAAAATCCGTCGCGGAAACCGCGGCGAAAACCGCCGCAGATCGGTAAAATGATCTATCGAAAGCAGATAGAAAAAATTATATCGGTAATTACCGATCATCGATATTATGTAAAGATGACAGTAAAAATTATGTAAAGAATATATATGTTGGTAAAAAATTAAATGTTGGTATATAATATCGGTAATAAATTAACGATCGTTGGTATTATCGGTAATTATATGTTGGTAAAAATTATATGTTGGTAAAAAATTAAATGTTATATAATATCGGTAAAAATTACCGACCGTCGGTAACATGCCCCCCCAATTACCGACCGATGATAACCCCCGCGGTGACGTCATACCCCCCCGCCCCCCCGCGATGGCGTCATACTACCCCTCCCCCGTGACATACTACCCCTCCCCCGTGACGTCATACCCCCCTCGCCCGTGGTACCCCCCGCCCCTCACCCCCCCTCGGAGGACCATGGGTTAGAACCGGCCTATAATACCTACTAATATGTTTAAAAATGTATAAAATGAATTATAATCGATATAATCGATTTAACACAGGATTTAGAGTACATTTTAAAAAATTCAGTAAAAGGATATAGTATTTTATCTACGTACGCATTTCAAGAAGAATTAGACGAAAAATGCAGAAATATATTGGCTGATATTGTTCATTATGAACTTAAGAATAACTTAGATACTCGGTATGATATATGTATGATATATTTTGAGATTTACATTTATTATTTGCGTAAAAATATTTTTAAAATTTTTTATGTCACAGAATTACTTCTGAACGCGCAAAATTTATTGCGGAGAAAATAATCGGGTTATTTCCTAAAGAAGATAGAAAGTAAGTTTTCATATTCAATATATTAATATGAGTATGTACAAAATTTAATCGTATTTTCGAATATGTGTCTGACGATTACATACAAAACTCATATATGTGTACATTAGGCCAAACTTGAAGAAATGTTTCTCTACTATTTTGCAGATCACGCAAAATTTTGATTTGGTAATTACAGAAGATCCGCGCGAATTATCGTGCGGATTACAGTATTGGATGTGACGGAAAATATTATTTGCATTGTATTTTTAAGTCATTGGCCGGTATTCACGGTCGGATCTTATATTTAAGACCGTCTTAAATTCATCTTCAGATTCTTCGTAGCCAATGAAATGAGTCATACAGTACCTGAAGATGAACTTAAGACGATCTTAAATATAAGATCCGACTATGAATACCGACCATTAAGTTGAACTTTATACAGTCTTTTATCATTTTGCAAATTACCATAGATTTTTAAGTTATTAATTAAAGAAGATTGGCAAACGATCGTGCATGATTATTCGTCAATTTTTTTAAATTAATAATTAAAAAATATAAGTAGTTTGCAAAATGGTAGAAGACTTTTCTGGATTAGTTTGGCTTAATATATAAGTACACAATACAAATAATATTTATCGCCACATTTTGCACCGTATTCTGCGCGATTATTCGCCAATCTGTAATTAATAATTTTAAATTTTACATAGTTCTTTGCAAAATAATAGAGAAATTTTTTGTCCAATTTTTCCTAATGTATATGTATACGACAATTTTATATTTATTGTCAGATCAATATCAAATGTAATAATTTCATTATAAATTATATATTCAATATACAAGATTCTATGCCTCAGAAAATTAAATATATAACTTTTTTTTATAGAATATATTGTGATATGTTAAATTATTTCTATTTATTTATAGAACACTTGGGTAGAAGAAGAATGGAAGAATGAAGAGAAGAATGGAAAAAGTATTGGAAGAAGCAAAATTTTAATAAAATTTCAAACCATACGAAGAAATCTAATTAAAGCTGGAGCGATTAAAAGACAAGGACAGAATGAGAAAGAAAGAGAAGGAACCGATGTTTGTATATCAGAAGGTATATTTTTTCAAAATTTATTAACTTTGCATAAATTTCGATATTTCTGAAGTTAATATTATTGTTTTAGTTACCAGATAATACCGATTGCGAAAAATATATTTTATGATTGCAAAATAATGATAAACCATGGATAAAAGTTACTCAATTATGGGAGAAAACTTCGAAAATTCGATTAAAATGTTTACGATCAGAGGAACAAAATATCCAAGATTATTTTAAACTCTATTCTGCTTTAGAGGAACCTCAAGGATATACTTTAGTAAAATTATATAAAAATAATTTTTGTCTTATATTTCTTTTTTAGCATTCATTTTATATTCTAACATTTTTGTTTATCTTTTTATTATACTTCTTTCGTTAAAGATTTTGTGAATTTTTATATTTTTTTATTTCAAGTTTACAATTTCACTTTATTTACAATTTTATATGTCTTATATTATTTTCTCTCAATGTTAGCTAGAAAAAGACTTTGAAGCATTATATCCTGATACTGTAATGAAATTATACGTTGAATGGTCTAAATTATCAGCTTTTATAAAAAAAAAATGGGTTAACATAGATTCAGCATTCAAAGTATATTCAGATCCATCTATAGTAAAATTATATATAATTTATCGTAAAAATTAATCCTATTTTATAGTATAATTTTTCTCAAATTATTAAATATTTGCATGCTGTTTCTAGTAAATATTCATTATGATTAATGTTGTAACATCTCGTACTATTTCATTCTGTAAATAATAATAAACTTACATAATAAGTTAAGCTAAAACGTTTCTGTGTTTACAGATAAAAAACAGTTCAACTTCTATTAAAATTATCTTCTCTTTTTCCTGTATATACAGTACTTGCAGGAAAAGGTAAAAGTGGAAACTGGCGGCCGTCACTATGTGAAAAACGAAAAGCCTTTCTATGGCGAATTGAGGCAAATATGTTATTTATCATAAATTTGCTATGTAGGGTGTATTTAAATAATTGTAAATAATTTTAAGCAGTTATATATATGGTATATTTGTTTATATATAGAGTCAGTCAGTAACTATTGTCACCTGAAATATCTTCCGAAGCAAAAGATGTAAGAATGATCTTCAAATCTTCGAAGTTACTTAGAAAAAAAAGCATGTTATAACGGTAAAACTTTTTTCTAAGTCAAATAATTTCGAAGATCTGAAGATCTTTGTCTTTTACTTCGAAGATATTGCAAGTGACAGTAATTACTGACTTACACTATATATAATTCTATATTATATAAATATATTAAAGCTTTTACAATTTTTCTTTATGTATATATATAATTCTAAATATATTAAAGCTTTTACAATTTTTCTTTATGTAATTTATGTGATTTGTTTTGTACGTATTTCTTTTTATTTATAAACATATGGTGATTTGACGCGAAAATATACGAAAAGAGAGAGAAATTAAATACATTCAAGTTAACATTACAATCGCAGGCTATCATTATAGGCTCATCAGATATCGATATACGGCGTAGTTTTGTCATTGTTAATAATCAACATTATGAACTCGAAACTCCTTTAAAAGCTATTGATATTACATTTAAGTGTATTCACAGTCTACATATCCCAAAGAAAGCGAACAAGTTTTTCTTTTTCTACAAATACATATTTATGGCATTAAGACAAAATATGATAAGAAATTTAGTACTTTGATCAAAGGAAATTTTTCTTTGTAAAAGTAACTTTCTCAGAGTATTTTCTTTATTTTTCATATTTCTTCTCTTTCTTTAATATTATTACAGTATTCCATTTAGTATTCAAAGTTTAAATGGAAAAAAATATTTTAATATATGGTTATATTTATAAAATAGTTTTATTAATACATATAAAGTATTAAATAGAACCTTGGTAATGATATCCATAATAAAAGAAATATTTTTAATTTATATTAACAGAGACATCGATTAATCAAGATGCCGATTTGTTTTATATGTAAAGAAGAAGTTGAGAATATTAAACTTTTGCGCATTCATTTCGAATATAAACATAAAGAAATCAAATATTATGAATGTATTGAAATACATTGTCATAGAAAATTCGATACTTATAAATCTTTAAAAAAGCATTTAAATTCATATCACAATATCAAATAACCAGAAAGATATAAAAATCAGGAGAAAAGACCAAATAATGAGCAAACTATTAATTGCACAAATAATATAGATTTTTATTATAATAATTTTTTGGAAATTTATAGTTTTGATTCGTCTGATTTTGATAACTCATTGAATCACGACAATTCTGTTAATGTTGAAGAACATACAATGAATAAAGTTGCTTCTTTCTTTGCAAAACTATTATACTATAATTATGGTCTTCCGCGAAATTATGTCCAAAATCTATATAAAGACATTCAAAAACTTTTTATTAACGATTGTCTTAAAAAAGCTGAAAATTTCCTTACTTCCATTGAAAATGTAAATGACAGTAAGATAGTTATAGACAAAATTCAATTACTTTGTAAAGATTATAAGGATTCTTTTGAATCGATGTCAACAGAATATCGTAGAATTAAATACGAACAGTGGACAATATGTGGCTCCGCAATCATATATTATTCGAAATGGCACTGAACGAGTTATTAGTGAAACAAGACAATATATTCCATTAAGACATATGTTGGAACGTTTTTTCAAAATTCCTCATGCTTTGGAAGATATACTTTCAAATATGAATTCCTTAATAAATTCTGTAGATAAGATATATAGTTATATTCAAACTGATACATGGAAGCGTAAAATATCATTTTATAAGTCAGATGATATTGTTTTGCCTTTAATCTTTTATTTCAATTACTCCGAATCAAGTAATCCACTTCGTCCTAAATCTGGTAAACTTGGTGTAGTCTACGCGGAGTTGCTTTATCTTTCTCCTGAATGTGAATTTAATTCTGATAATATATTTCTTGTATTGTTAGTTTTTGAAAGTATTAGTAGAAAAATTTTTGGTAATAAGAAAATTTTTGTTCTCTTAATTGATGAATTTAATTTTTTGGCAAATGAAGGAATTTCTGTAACAACAATGGACAGAGAGATAAAAAAATATATTTTACTACAGAATTTTGTACTGGTGACAATTTAGGAATTAATTCAATGTTTGGTTTTGTAGAAAGTTTTAATGCTCATTATTATTGTAGAATTTGTAAAAATTCGAAACAAAATATGCAAATTCAATATAAAGATAATATATCATACCAACGAAGTCCACAAAATTACGAACAGGATGTTGTTAGAAAAAACGAAAAATTAACAGGAATAAAAGAAAGAAGCATCTTTAATAAATTAAAAAATTTTCATGTGACTTGAATTCTGCTTTAGATTCAATGCATGATCTCGCCGAAGGGATATGCCATTATGACATGTGTTACATAATAAAACATTGCATAGAATGTGATTACTTCAGTCTCGATCAACTAAATTCTCGAATGTCTGTGTTTAATTATGGACTTATTGATAAATCGTCAGAACTTCTATTTATTTTTAAAAAGCATCTAGATAGTTTAACATTAAAAATGACTGCTACCCAAACATTATGTTTTGTAAAATATTTTGATCTTTTGATTGGTGACCTGGTTCCTGATAATGATCCTTTTTGATTGTTATATAAACTTTTAAGAGATATTCTTGATATTATCCTCGCGAAAAGTATTAACAAAGCTTATCCTAATATTTTGCAAGTACTTGTAAATGAACATCATAAATTATATCTCCAAATAACAAACGATAATTTGAAACTAAAATATCATGCACTTGTTCATTATCCTAATTTTATGAAAAAAGCAGGACCTGTGAGTCAGTTTTCATGCTTCAAATTCGAAGCAAAACATAAGTTTCTTAAAAAATCGGCTTCTATAAACTCATGTAAGAAAAATAAAGCTTATTCAGTTACTGTAAAATATCAACTGCACATACGTTACAGATTTCTAAGTTCTTCTTTTATTTTGCAAACTTTTTCAATTGGACCCATAAAAAAGATGGATAGATTTGAAAAGATTCAGGTTTTAGCTTCTTTGCCTAACAATATTAAATATAATTCAAACTTGAAAATTCTTAAATGGATAAATTACAAGGGAACTTGTTTTCGTGAATTTCATTGTTGTTATTGACGAAAGTAAGTCAGGACCATTATTTGGTTAAATTGCTGCTATAATTGTATGTCAAAATATTGTGATATTCCATTGCGAGTTTTAATTACTATAGGTTTTAATTACTATAGGATTTAATGAACACGTTCGAGGTTACGAAGTACAATTTTCTGGGTCTAAAAGAAACGTAAACATAAATGATCTTTGTGATCCACTGCCATTAAGTCTGAATGCAAATGTATGTAATGAAAACTATGTTATTATGCGTTATGCAATTTAAGTTTTTTTTTTTGTATTAATTCTATCTCTAATTTCTAATTTTTATATTAATTCTAATCTTTTAGTATTATTAGGTGCGCAACTAAGTTCCCGCTGTTTGTCAATAGATGGCTCCAGCAGTAAGTGCTGGTCGATTTTGACATATCCAAAACGTCATGAACCAAGCTTAGACATATGGTAAACAAACCGCTTTGACACGTTAGTGATTTTTTTTTGGCGTCATATACTTTTGGTTGTGTGAAAATGTCTGATTTTGTGCCAAATAATCGTCATTTGCGGGAAGTGTTGATTTTCTTATTTCATTCGAAGAAAATGGCGGCTGAAGCGCATCGAGAGCTCCAAAAAGTTTACGGAGATGCTGCTCTAAGTGAAACAACGTGCCGTGATTGGTTTCGTCGCTTCAAAGACGGTGATTTCGATGTTGACGACCGTCCGCGTGAAGGAAGGCCAAAAACCTTCGAAGACGCTGAATTGGAGGCATTGCTCGATGAGGATCCGTGCCAAACGCAAGAACAGCTTGCTTCAGCATTAGGAGTTACCCGCCAAGCCATTTCCAAGCGATTGCATGCGTTGGGAATGATTCAAAAGCAAGGAACTTGGGTTCCTTATGATTTGAAGCCAAGGGACGTTGAGCGTCGTTTTTTCGCCTGTGAACAACTGCTCCAGCGGCAAAAAAGGAAGGATTTTCTTTATCGCATCGTGATGAAAAATGGATTCATTACAGCAACCCAAAGAAAAGAAAGTCATGGGGACTGCCCGGTCATGCTTCTACGTCGTCGGCTCGGCCGAATATTCACGCTGCGAAGGTTATGCTGTGTATTTGGTGGGACCAGGTCGGTGTTATTTATTATGAGCTGTTGAAACAGAACGACACCATCACTGGGGAACGGTATCGAATTCAATTGATGCGATTGAGCCGAGCACTGCGCGAAAAACGGCCACAATACGAGCAGAGGCACGAAAAAGTGATTCTACTGCATGACAACGCTCGGCCTCATGTTGCCAAACCCGTTAAAACCTACTTGGAAACGCTCAAATGGGAAGTCCTACCCCACCCACCATATTCCCCAGATATTGCGCCGTCCGATTATTACTTGTTCCGTTCGATGGCACATGGTCTGGCTGATCAGCAGTTCCGCTCATATGAAGACATCAAAAAATGGCTTGATTCGTGGATAGCCTCACAAGACGAACGCTTTTACCGTAACGGTATTCGAGCTCTGCCAGAAAGATGGGAAAAAGTTGTAGCTAGCGATGGGCAATACTTTGAATGATTCATTTGTAACCATTTTTT